TTCCGCCGAGAGGAGGGGCGACCCGCTTTTTTTGGACTGGAGCCGGCATCAAAGGAACCCTTTTAAACCTCTCAAGAAGCCCTTTGAAACTTTTATAATCTGGGTCGTAGCGAGGTGAGAGAGTGAAACGTTTCCTGAAAAGTCGGCGTACGGTTTCAATGTTTCTGATAGCACCAAATGTAAGTGTAATCCACCGCTCCTGTTGCGGTGTAAATAACCTGTTCTTGTTCTGTATAAGGAAAAAAAAACGACTAGTAACTTTGGCCTCCTGCCCTCGCTCCGTATGAGTGTAAAATATATCTTAAGTGGCCAAAGCATAAATGTCCAAAAATTTGCAACAAAGCCACGTGCGCAACCACGTGCTTTGCGTATTTTATATATCTTTAATAAGCATTTACTTTTTGACACTTTTAGTGAAACACCCAGTGATTTTATATGTTGTGAGGGCACATCTGAACATGATAAAAATCCAACTAACAAAGTTCCCTAAAAATGATTGCCTGGCTGGCTGTTTTTATGGCTGTTTATTTGTATTTCTATGCAAAGAAAACGGCAAAATTTGTTAATTTCGGAAGGTGCGGGCGCCATGGGAGGGCTATCGTCCCAAATACCTTGTATCTAGGGGCTGAGGCTGAAAGTTGAAATGGTTGGTACTTCTGTTGCCAGCTTCAACAATATTGTGCTAAAGTTTCAACTGCGAGGGTAGCAATCGACCTTTTTACGTAAGTATCTTTAACGGCTTAAAAATTGATCCAGGATGATGATATCAAGCACTACTAATACGAGTACCTACTATAGGACAAAACTCACTGAGAGCTAGTGGAGGGGCTAAGTAATTGATGTGACGCTTGATTAAGTATGCTAGCGTCCAATGATACACTCCAGTTACAGTATCAAAAACAGAGGTACTTCGTGGCTTGAGTTGTGATGTGCCGCTTTACATTGGTTCCATATTATATCTGTCACAAGATAGCAGTAGCATTCAACGCCTAGAAGATGCCATGCCGCACGATCCTAGTTGGCTATATCCGTCACAAGATGGCAGTAGCGGTCGGCGCCTGAGTGATGCTGCGCCGCAGGGCTTTAGTTTGCTATATCTGTCACAAGATGGCAGTAGTATTCAACGCCTAGTTAGTGATGCTGTGCCGCACGACCCTAGTTCGCTGTATCCGCCACAAGATGGCAGTAAAGGTCAGCGCCTGAGTGATGCTGTGCCGCAATACTTCAGTTCGATATATTGGATATGTTACAGGCCGTATGAAAACCCAGTCCGTTTGCAAACGGCCTGGCCCGATTCAGGCCGTTTGCAAACGATTTCCGATTTCGATTCCTCCAGCTGGGGGCGGGTGGGTGGGTGAACTCAAATACATTACGAGCCCCCCCCCCCCCCCCGCCGAAAAGTTGGAGGGGCTCAGCCCCCGCTAGCCCCCCCCCCCCGGTTCCCGCGCCACTGATGTGAACTCTGATGTCCATTGCGCGCTTCGGCGTTTAATGCCGCAAAATAATCGGTGAGTCTTGTAGTGATGCGTTTCACCAGACCTCACCAGTAGTGGCTTCCCCAGGCTCCATCAACTGGATGGCCGTACACAGGCGGACCGTGAACTTGTATTATTAGTAATATTGTCGAAAAACGGCCGGGCCGAGCATCAGCACAATAAGAAAATTTTCGACGCATGTAGACGAGTCATTCGGCATGGAATGCGCAAGCATTCACATGGATGTAACCTGATCATCGACCAGCCTGGATCCTTCTTCAGAAGGATTCAATCAGAAGGATTTCAATCTTCAGAGGCTGTTGTACTTCGCCAGACCGTTTGAAAACTGACTAGGCCGTTTCCAAACTGCCTAGGACGTTTCAAACTGCCTAGGCCGTTTTCATACGGCCTGATATTTCAGGCGGTTTGCAAACGGCCGGCTTTTTCAGGTCGTTTTCAAACGGTCTGACTGGGCCAGGCCGTTTGCAAACGGACTGGGTTTTCATACGGTCTGTAACAGATATATCCGTCACAAGATGGCAGCAATACTTTGCCGCTTGAGTAATGCTGTGCCGCATTACATTTTCAATCTAGCGATTTCGTCATAAGCTTGAAGCTACCGAACTGGTACTCCTAAGCTATGACGGGAAACATAAGCGGAGGGTACTGTAGATTAGGTATATTTGAGCTATTTTACGTGTAGGTATGTGGTGTGTGACGCCGATTTAGATGTTTTAAATTGAAGTTCATTGAAGCTCATTTTGCTGTATGCTTGTTTACCATGTTGTTCCTGCTGCCACGGAATTATGCATAGGCACCTATATCACAGAACCCTTTGGCGGCGAGCAGAGTACCTCAAGCCATCAGTCTAACGCTGGCGAATAATACCTGCCTACGAGACGAGACTCCGTTTATATCGGAACTTTGAACAATAGCCCTGGGCTACACCAGGAGACACATATTGCTGAAGGCAGCAAAACTAATCGCACCGAACTATGTGCTATTAGACGCACAGATATTAACCCTCGCCCGTATTGGTGTTTTTCCAGCCGCGAACGTATAAGGGGGGGGGTCCGTTGGACCCCCTTGCCGTTTCGCCCCTGATCGAGCTAAAGCTTCGCGGAAAAAACGAGCGTGTTGCCCGTGACGAGAGGAAGCCGATGATACCCAATTTTAAGGTCCTAGGTCATTGGTTGACCTAGCAGGTCAGGTCAATGACCCCAAAGGCAGGAAAATCGGGAACTGTTAGAACGTCATAAAGTGTGGCTGCTATGGGGTTTTTCGGGGTGCTGATCACGAATATTATGTTAGTTTTGATCACAGATGATGTCTTCATGTATTTAGGCCAGGTCGGGTCAGGTCAGGTCAGGTCAACCAGTAAGGGTATTCGTAGTAGGTGGCAACCGCCTCTGACAGCTTCGTAACATGTTACGAAGGCACCAAAACTACTTCGTAAATGTTCATATGGTTGCTAAATTCGAATTCAGCTCCAAAAACTGGCCTAGAAACATGTAAAACTCGAAAAAGTGAACCGAGGTCATCAAAGGTCATTGACCTGACCGGACCTTCAGGTGACCTTGACACCCACCCTAATGCATGGGGGCAACATCATATCACATGTTTGAACGCTTGAAACCACGAAAAGACTGCAAACGCGCGGCTAATGCGAGCCGACATACGCCGAATCGCGATTCCAGCCAAACATGGTCTCGAAAAGTAGGTCACAGGTCAAAGGTCATTTGGGTCAGGGTCATGAAATTTTCAGGGTAGGTGTGAAATTGATGAATGCGAGGGTACTGAAAGTTTCGTCGCGATCGGCCGCTTTTTACGCGAGTTATTCGCGAAAAACCATGGGGGGTCCGTTCGACCCCCCCCCCCCCTATACGGGCGAGGGTTAAAGGTAGTGTGCCACCTTCGAATGATTTCCCATTTTATTTTTCCTAGGATAAGTAGCTTCTGTTTTTACCTAATATCGCAAAAAAAAAATCAAAAATGGACCTAAAATAGTGCTTTTTTCGCCTAAAAGTTTATCGGTTTTTCGATATGTATAACAATTATAGTGGGCTGACCTGCAAACAGGCGTCGGCAACAATCACGAATGCGGCGCACATGTGACAATAAGCAAAGGTCATTATAGAGTTACGACGTACGGGAATGAGTTATCAGCTGTCTAATCGTAGACAACACAATGGCGAATTTAAACTGTAAGCCTGTATTGGTGTTGTTTCTTTAATTTGGCTGTCGAACATTAATTTATGGTTTGAAATATTATTTTATGTAAAATAATTGATATGAAACAGCCGTCTCTAAAGTTATGACCCCATCTCACCACATGAAAGTGGCAGAAATGACAATGATCAGCTGGCGCATTTTTCTTGGCCGAAGTCAGAGCGCGCGGCCCGACGCACCACCACCGCACCACAAAGTATGAGCAGAAGCCGCGCCCAAAGCCAGGGCCCCGGTAACGTGAGGTAGCCGAGTCGGGGCAGCGTGCGCTGACCCAAGCCGGGGCCGCAGCTTTGGGCGCGGTCTACCGCATCCCCGCGGGAAGCCCCGGGCTATCACATGACACCGGGAGGACGCGCGGCCCCGGCTTGGGTCAGCGCACGCTGCCCCGACTCGGCTACCTCACGTTACCGGGGCCCTGGCTTTGGGCGCGGTCTACCGCACCACCTAACAGGCGTGTTCGAAACCGCAGGAGATGATGATGAACGGGTTTATCGAAACTTGATTGGATGAGCCTATCGGTAATAGCGATTTCAGTGTGTGCATTTATTGTTCATAGTGGTGTGAAATGTGGTTGGGGTACGACCGACAACCCGTCGGGGCGAATTTCGCACTGGGGTACTCAAAATTTGAAGAATTTAAGACGTTTCCATGAGTTTTGAAGGTATGGATAAGTTCTAAAAATCCGGTTCTCCTTATCTGGGCCATTGACTCCATACGGTCCAGGAAAGCTGGCACACTACCTTTAAGCTCAAACCTAAGCGAAAATCGCTCAGTACTCATACTCACCCATCTAAAACGGTTATTAGTCCCGGGTTCTCATGCGCCACGTGATGATAGTATAAATTGCGAGATATATAAATAACGACAATATTACCCAAATACATAATTAAAATGTAAATAATATTGTCGCTTTTCATATGTTTATATTTGTCATGGATAACATACATGGATAACATGTTACCAATTTTGGCGCATCAGGCTCAAACCTCAGCGGTCAGTACAAATGTATCTATAGGATGGATCTGGGTCTGTCCTTGCCTTCTCTGTCCTGAAAAGGGCCGGCTCTGTGCCTGAGATGGACCTTCTCATGCCTGAGATGAACCCTCTGCAGTGTCGCCGTCCACAGGACTGGACGGACCCCCAGCCCGTCCACAGGACTGGACGGACCCTCAGCCCGTCCACAGGCCAGGACGGACCCCCAGCCCGTCCGCTGGTGGACGTGCAGCGCCCGTCTGCAGGCGGCGGTGACAGTTCACAGCGCCGCAATACTGACGCAGACGTCGGGTCCGTCCCCAGGACACCGTCGCCGACGAGGCGCTCGTGAGGTTCGGCCCGGCGGATAGCGAGTTCATCGAGGAGCTCTACCTGCCCGCCACCTACCAGGACGACGGGGAAGCTCTAGTGCCCGACCTGGACCAGCCGATCCCGCTCGAATGGCTTGCTGATGACTACGATCTGGAAGGTAACATCACTTACATAATTGCAACTGTGTAGCCATCATCAGCTAGGCAAAGGCAGGCGTATAGTAACATTATTTTTGAATAATGTCCACTCTTTTGTGCGCCTGGCTTTCGGTAGATATTAATTTCACGGATGTGTTTCAATCATGCATAGACGGCAAAAAAACTGTCCATCTGAAGTCAGATGGCGCTAAGTCTCTGCCACCCTGTTCTCCCGGTCCCGCACCCCTCGTCCCAGCTGACCCTCTCGTCTCGCCTGACCCGCAGAGCTGGCGCGGGACGGCCTGGAGCCGGCGGCGGCCGGCGTGCTGCTGCCCCCGGCCATGAAGCGCTCGGCGCCGGTCGAGTTCGATCTGGGGCCGCTGCCGGCCGACTCGCAGATCCACCAGCTGGCGCAGCTGGTGCGCTCCGTGGACCAGCAGCTGCAGCGGGCCGGCGGCGGCGGTGGCGGGGCGCTCGACGAGCTGGAGCGCCAGGCCGCCGCCGACTCGCCCGCCGAGATCGTGCTGGACCTGGGGCCGCCGGACGAGATGGCCCAGTACCCCTCCGACTACGACGGCGACTACGGCGACTACGGCGGCGACTACGGCGACTACGGCGACCTGGAGCCGATCCCGCTGAGCGTGCGCTCCGACCCCGAGTTCCGGCGCGCCGAGCGGCTCGATATCAAAAAGCCCGGCCCCTGGTTCGGCGTCAACAACTTCGCCTTCGACTACGACTTCGACGGAAAGGCGCCCGTGCCGGACCAGGTAAATATTTGGCACAAAAAGAAACGCAACACACCCGGAACAATATCAGGGTGGCATGTGTAATATGTCAGTGCGTCAAAGAAACACAGTCTGCCGTTCGATTGACCTTTGCCGCGCGTACGTACATATGCACATTTATGAACCAATACCTATGCAAGCGGTTACCCATGCGTTTACTGATGGTCACCGTCAGAACTGCGCCTGGCACCGATAAATCATTTCCTACCACATTCCAAACGAATAACCTTAGCTGTTAATGCTGTAACAGAAAGTTGGACGGTCAGAATGGTCACATGGACATGATTGGACACATATGAAACTATTTCAGGAGATCAATCCGATGGAATCGCTGCCGATCGAGCCGATGGAACAGGAGCCAATGGAATCGATGGACCAGGATTCGGCCCAGTCACCGCCACCGGAGCCCCGCCTATCAGCCGGAGGTGAGACACAGTCCCGCCTCTCAGCCGGAGGTGAGACACAGTCCCGCCTCTCAGCCGGAGGTGAGACACAGTCCCGCCTCTCAGCCGGAGGTGTGACACAGTCCCGCCTTTCAGTGGGAGGTAAGACACAGCCCTGCCTCTCAGCCGGAGGTGAGGCACAGCCCCGCCTCTCAGTCGGAGGTGAGACACAGTCCCGCCTCTCAGTGGGAGAATATACACAGCCTCCTCCCATTGGGAGGTGAGACACAGTCCCGCCTCTCAGTGGGAGGTGAGACACAGTCCCGCCTCTCAGTGGGAGGTGAGACACAGTCCCGCCTCTCAGCCGGAGGTGAGACACAGCTTCGCTTCTCAGTGGGATATGAGACACGACCCCGCCTCTCAGTTGGAGGCGAGACACAGCCCCGCTTCTCAGTGGGATATGAGACACGACCACGCCTCTCAGTGGGACATGAGACACAGTCCCGCCTCTCAGTGGGAGGTGAGACACAGTCCCGCCTCTCAGTCGGAGGTGAGACACAGTCCCGCCTCTCAGTGGGAGGTGAGACACAGTCCCGCCTCTCAGTGGGAGGTGAGACACAGTCCCGCTTCTCAGTGGGATATGAGACACAGTCCCGGCTGTCAGTGGAATATTAAACACAAGCCCACCTTTCTGTGGGACATGTGACACACGACTGCAGAGTGAGAGTGACTGGCCCCTCAATGGGAGGTGAGACATAAGTCATAACCCCGCCTCTCAGTGGGAGGAGTGAGGGAAAGGCCTCTCAGCCCTGAAAACGGTCACTGTGCCACACCGTGACATTCTCCGATGGATCTACTCGCGCCATCGGATGAAATGCTCGTCCAGGCCGAAACGGGGGGAGGGGGGTTGAGGACCGTTGGGCTGATAAGAGGCATTTGGGAGTCCTGAGTAGAAATCAGAGTGATTTGTGATCCATTTTACGGATGTGATACTCGTATAAAGGGTGGCGGCGAATGCAAAAAAAAAAAACAGTTTCGAACTGCAAGCCAAAGCGTCAGTTTAAACGTCCCGGTATGGTCACGCCATGCGGGGCTTTCGGTGTCATTACAGCTGACAACACCAACCGGCTACCAGCTAGCAGTTTTTTGCGATGATAACGATCTGTAACAAATTTCATAATCTTACCTGGACACTTAACTTTTGTACTGTTGAAAGCAGAGTGATAATGCATTGCATTAAATATGTACTGAATGCAATATGCAATGTTTTAAACATGCTGCATTATACATTGAATGAGATGAGACGTCATCGCATTCAATTAAATTCTAGCACACGCCGTGAGTATGTACTGGCGCAGCAACGCGCCTGCCTCCCGGGTGCCGGGGCAGCTCTCCCGTGTGATCCGCCGGCTCTGTGCTGATTTGTATTAGAGCCGGGCGCTGTTTACGGTCCGTGGTAATCCGGCCCGGTAAGCCGCGCCGCTCCCCGCGCCCTGCCCGAGCACCGACGCGCAAACACCCGCGGACGGCACGTGCCGCGGGGCTCCCGTTCGGGGCGGCACGTGCTGCCGGCGGCGCCACGTGTTGGCGAGCGCCCGCCATATGATGTCGGGAAATGATGTCCCAGTGTGACAGAGGCCTGATATCGGACTGCGGACAGATTTGTCTGAAAACAACAGCCCGCGCTGCCGATACTGGTGGATCAGCTTTCCATCATGCAGTGTTTCAGCCAGGCCTTCATCATACTGAAAACTTATATGTAAAAGTCTAAAATTATAATTTTACGTTTTTATATAGGCCATCAAAAGCTACAAAAGCGCGCGTTTTGTTAAAGGACGTAGGGATTACTAAAATAAACTTTTACTTTTAAAAAACTGCAAAAATATATAAACGGGGTTATCACTGCTATTGCAAGTAAAACTGCTTCATTCAAGAAACTAGTATTTTTTGTTCAACCATCTCATTCATGCCTCTGGTACCTAATAGGGGAAGCGGGGGTAGCACCGCCATGTGGGAAACACCGCCATCCTCTCTATCGGCAAAACTCTGAATTGTAAATGTAAACACCCGCCATTTCGGTGTCCGAACGGAAACGGGACGCCGCGTGAGGTAGGTTTCGCTAAGATTTATTTGATTTTGAGATCGCTATTGCCCATTTTGTGAATTTCAAACCATCGTTGCAATCATTTGGCATGTTTGAGCAGCAAGTAAGTGGTCATTTCAAGTCAAAATGCCTTGATTTTTACGTTAAATTCGAGGGCATGAAGTGCTCTTTGTTGAGAAAGGAATTACAGAAGAATCGCGTCCCGGCTTGTTTTGCTGTCGGGGCGTTGTCGGTCCAATGCTGTGAGTGGGGTAACACCGCCATGCTCGGCGGTGCTACCCCAAGGGGTGGCAAAATGGATAAAGCCGCAATGATGATTCACTCAGCTCGGAGAAGAGCTTTAGTTAGGCCGCAAACGTCGTCTGTTTTTTAACCTCACGTTTGACTTCACTGGATGTTTCGAAATAAACGTGAATTTGTCATGCTTTGTATGCATATTGTCCGCAACAAACAGTCTGATCTGTGACAAACTAACAACCAACTCTTGTGTGTCTTATATGAGTTTGAGTTACTATTTCAGACAGCAGTAACGCTTCCAAGGGTGGCTGTCAGTGTCACCGTAAGGCCGATCTGTGGATAACATCGCCATCAGTGGCGGTGCTACCCGCACATTTTTTGGAGGACGAAAAATGCAGGACTTGTTTTCGACGTCTGTAAAGTAGCGAAATTTTATATGGAGCGCTGGAAACTATGCCAACATGTAGGAAAACATTCCTACTTTCGCATGAATGCAAAAGAGCTTCGTTTTTACTACGCATATCAGCTCGGTGAGCAGAAATGCTTAAGGTGGCGGTGCTCCCCCCGCTTCCCCTATACGATTTCCAGAGCATGATACTAAATTCATTACTTTTGTTTTTAAAATTGAACTTTCCGGTCGATAAAAACTCTTTCTTGGGCATGCTGCCAAGTAATTTCGACTGGAGTGATTTTTATATTTTGCGTGCTTATCAATAAATATTTAAAAAAATACTGCAAGCCCTCACGCCTTTATCTACAACATGCATCATAAATGTAATATAGGTTATAGGTACATGTTCTCTGCGGAGACTCTTCAGGACTGCCAGAGCGCGGGTTAAGAAAGCTTGAGCTCGTCAATTGTGAAGTATTCCATTTGGTGATCGACCATACGAGTGGTTGCCATCGAAGCCCCGATTGTTGTTCGCGTCAATTAGAATGGATAGTCACACATTCATTTCGATTCCATCTAGGTATATACATAGAGCAGCCAGAAGGTTCACAAACAGAACTCTTGCTGTATCAGTGCATGCACCCCGATCCCGGCGGACTGGCGATCTCGGGGCTGATCGGACGGCACTCTGTTCTCCCCGCTCGGTGGCCGCACCTTCAGCTCGCCGGCGCCGGCGTGATCACCGGACCCGCCGCCTCCGAGCTGTGTGTACAAATTAGCCCCGCCGCGCCGGCGATTTGTCGTCGATCGCGACGCGTAACCATGGAAACCGGGCCAAACAGCGCGCCGAGCTGGGAATAGTCTGAATGGTGCGCGGTAATCTCCTGCGGGGGATAAAAGCCGGGGTACCTGACACAGAGCTGGGATACCTCACATGGAGCCGGGGTACCTGACTGACATGGAGCCGGGATACTCGACATGGAGGCAGACAAACTGACATGAGGATAGAAAACCTGATATGGAGTTGAGATACCTACCTGACATGGAGTCGGGATAACTGATATGGAGCTGAGATACCTGGATACGGCATTGGAGTCATACAGCCCGACATGGAGCCATGCTTGTTGCGGGGCACCATGGGGCATTGGTGGTGAATAGGGCTAGCCTAAACGTTTCTGACACCGAGACACGGGAAGTGAACAGGTGTGCATTTGCAAAAACTGCACAGCAGCGGCCACTGACGTCAGCTCGACTTGCTCCGGCTGCCGCACTGTCAGCGGCTCGTATGTATGTATGTAGCGTATACACTACCTATCGGAGCCGCGGTCCTGTCAGCAGCGGTATACCTATCGCAGCTGCCGCCGACGGCGACCGACGTCGTGCGGAACCTGTCGAACACACCTCGGCAGAGGAGGGAGGGAGGGAGGGAGGGTGACGGCAGAAGCGGGACATGACGTCGCTACATGACGCCCCAAGAGGCTCAGAGACCCACACGGCCCTGGCCCCGAACTCGGAAAGGGGGGCTGAGACACAAGGCCTGACCTCACTCAACGCGGTATGTGCAGCTGCAGGTGGGATAGCACAGGCACCAAACCAGCAGAGCACGCACAAGTTCGTGACAAGCATTTATGCTCACCTAAGCAGTAAGCTATAAGCAAAATTATACAGGCTTCGAAAACGTGAACGTGGTGTGAAAACATCGCCAGAATACTAGGAAGCAGAGTTTCAGCAATCAAATTATATAGATCAATCTAATAAAGTTTGTCCGATTGATGATTTCTGTATTTATCGCCCACCCGATCAAATTAGGTCGAGTCGCGCGATGTCAAGTCCTATCGCGGCGGTCCCGGTCAGTTCAAACCAGACTGGGTCAGACTGGGCGTGGTGGGTCATATCAGGCGGGATATGAATGGGACAAGGGCTCATTCCGGGTCAGACCGGGTCAGGTCAGTCTAGGTCAGGTCAGGCTAGGACTGGGTCATATCAGGGATGGGTCAGACCAGGGTCAGGTCAGTCTGTGTCAGGTCAGATCAGGTCAGGTCAGACCGAATCAGACTGAATCAGGCCAGATTAAGTCAGACCAGGGCTACGTCAGTCCAGGTCAGGTCAGTCCGGGCCGGGTCAGACCGGGTCAGGTCAGACCCGGGGTCCGGCCGGGATGTGCCAGCTCCTGTCTCCCCGGTCCACCCAGGCCGCGGCCGCCGTCACTGCGCCTGACACACCTGTTACCGTCTCGGCGCGGGGCTGACACCCGCCAGGGGTGGGGGGGGAGGACGGGGGCGGCGCCTTTTTGCCGACGCCGCTGTCGACTGCCGCCTTCAGTCCTGTGCAGGCCGCGGTGCGATCGTGGCGGGCGCCGGGCGGAGCGGCTGCCAGCCACCACCTGGCCCCATGTAACGTGGGTCCCGGAGCCATACGCGAGACGTTCTGTGTGCGGTGCTGGGGTGGAAACTCTTGTGGACTGTGGACAACATTATACTGTGGACTGAGGACGCCGCTCTGGTTACTAGACAGAACTCCAGTGGACTGAGAGCGGTGCTCCTGAGTACTGTGAACCTCCTGTGAACTGCACCACTGTTAACTGTGACTTTATCGGGAGGTTCTGAGCTCCGAGCCGCGGATGGTGAGCTGCGGACCGTAGCCGTCCTTGTGAACCGGAGTTATGGGCGGTTGAGCTGACCTTTCTGATATCCGAGTACGATGCGCACGCTGAGGCTGCCCGGCGCGGTGCGGGCGCCACCTCTCCCCCTTCTACTGCTGGTGCTACTGTTTGACCGGACAGGGGCAAGCCCAGCCTATGGGTGGGAGACCCTGCCAGCCCTCCGCGCAACAGGTGCGCTCCTCCTATGCAAAACAACACTACACAGCAAAGCAATTGTAAATATTATGTCTTCTATAACAGCAAAGCAACACCCTCATTTCTGAACACAAATCTGTCATCCACTTTTACTGCGACTGTTGCTTATTTGTCCGATCTGCAGGCATGCTGTGGAAATCAGTCTACACTCAGACAATTATGTTCAGCTTTCTGATAGCGTCCATTTTCATATGCGAATGATGCAGCTAACTGCAAATAAACCGCTTATAATTCCAACGGTAAGTCGTGGACGCAGCTGTAAGTAGGAAATGTATCAACGCCAGACAGTTATGCTTGCCGGTTGCACTTTGTGCGCATAAGTTCAATGACATCCTAACACTTGGAAGTGCACAGTTCATTAAGAAATATAGTGAGTGTTTGTGTAGGTAAACCTAAGGATATTGACAGTATTTCGGTTAATGACGCCACTGTCTGCGGCTTTCAGAGGACGCCTTTTCGGTGGACAGCGAGTCGCGGCGCGTGGACAGGGTGGCCGAGGACAGGGTGGACAGGGTGGCCGAGGACGTCAACCCGAGTCCGGAGGCCACGCCGAGCGGCGCGCCGCCCTCCCAGCAGTCCCAGGTGGGTCCTCCCGCCGCCCCACAGAGCCGCTGCTGCCCAGACGCGGCTGATCTGCCGCCGTCACACCGCCCCGTTACGTTAGAGCCTGTGACCGAGTGCCGACCCACCCGCAGGAGGCCGGCCAGCCCGCCAAAAAGTCGCGCAGCGTCGACCGCTCGCCGGGGCCCCAAGTCGACACCGATCTCGACTACGTCTACATGGAGGTCCAGAACAGGTGAGCACAGGGACAGGGGACAGGGGGTGTCGGCGGCTCAGGCTGGAAGGGGGGGGGGAGCGGGGAGGACCTGTCGGTGATCCAGGATGGATGGAGAGGAAATGGCAGGCTCCTGGTGGGAGCGAGAGAAGCTTTAAATGGGGTCGGCCTGCTGGAGATAAAAGACAAACTGTCGGCGGATCCCAAAGTGGCATGCATTCCGCTCCTTGCAGCAACCACTTTCCACCCAGCGCTCCTAAAGATCAAAGTTGAGGGCCGCCCAGCGCGTGCTGACGAGATGCCAGACTCCCTGACCCGATGACCTCCTTCGACAGGTTTGAAGACGGCAATGAAGCCACACGACTCGTGAAGCAACTGGAAAAGGATCTGTTCCTACCCGTCAATACCTTCGACAATATCGGGTAATACTGGGGTAACATACTATGTGCGCGTACTGTATACGTTAGCACAAAACTAAAGGACCGCTTGCATTTCAGCGATAAAACTTGAAATCTTCTCTATAAAACAGATAATTACGTACACTTACAAAATAATTCTAATTTTATCAGTGACACGTAATCGTTTGATTTTATCAGTGACACGTAATCGTTTGACTATCTATCATGATATGAGTATCATGTTCGCAAAACATATGCTATTATGAATGTTCATCTCAGGAGTCAGGACAAATATTTCGAGGAATGAAATCGGATTTTATTTCCACTTCCACAAGTGATGTATGGCGAAGGATAGGCGTGAATGCCCACTGCCCATTATGACATGTATGTGCAGTGTTTTATCAAATAACATCCACAAAAGCCTAAAAAGATCACATTTGCGATAGAAGCTTTCGTTTGGAAATCGCACATATTTCTGTGCAGTGTCTCTCTTCGAACATAGCCGAGGCCAATCGATTGTCCTAATGCGCATCATCGTCGCTAATAAAGGAACTGTCTGTTTCCATTCTCCAGGGCAGAAAAGAACCAGGTTTGGTTTAAGGTGAAGCCGAACAAGCTCGAACTGAACGCCGCAGCTGTAGCCAGTCGTATAGGTAAGATCACGCCACCGTGTCATCTGGCACCCACCCGCTCAGTCAACAGTCAAGAGATTTGGCTAAGGCGAACTTACCTAGTCCTGCAATCCCAACCTCGGCAGAAAATGCACATGAATCTCAATGTAGGTACATCAATGCACATGGCAGCTCATGAGTCGTGGACAATGATATTACATTTACTTTGTCAAACTGTGCTTAACAGAATTTGCAAAAACTGGACCAAACTTGTGTTCAACGTTATGCATAGTATGTCCATTGTGCATAAATTGCAGCTTATATGCTACATGAGCCGATACTGCCCAGCGCCCACTGAGTTTGCTCTGGCGTGCCTGGGCTAGGCGACAGGGTGATGCACGAGCATAACTGCATCCTTCTGACGGAAGCCATCCATTGCAGGAAGTCTTCGTGGCACCCTGAACAACGAGCTCGGTGTAACCATCACCGAGGCCGGCGTCGGAAAAGGGGTGAGTACAAATAGGGGCGAGAAAGAGGACGGGGCGTGAGCCGGAAAAGGGAAGAGTTGGGCGAGAAAGGGACCGGGGCGTGAGTCGGAAAAAGGGGGTGAGAGGGCGTCGGAAAGGGATGAGTAGGGCGAGAAAGCGATGAGACAACGGTTGGTGAGTGAGGGAATGGTTCTATTGGTACGTGAGGGAAGGAGCAAAGATGGCGACGAGAACACCAATGTTAGACTAGATCTAAACTAAAAAGCCGTTGCTTGTAGACAATGTTTCACAGCTTCCTCTTGTGACATTGTGACGTGTTGTGCATCGTTAAACACTAGAAATTCCGCAACAGATTAATTGCACAACAAATTATTTATTGGAGTTTCGCGTTAATCAAGATCTGAATCCATTTGCAAGCTCGTCATCCAGATCCGTTGCAAACCGTCGTGCCCGGAACGGCGTGGTCGCTGATAAGTTGACACGATACGGCTTTCGCCATTAGGAGTGATCAGCGGGAGGGAGACAACATGTCGCCGAACGTTTCTCTGGCAGGATTAGCGAACCTCCTCGCCTCTCTCCCTCCCTCTCTCGTGCTCTCTCCGCGCTGGGCTATTGATCGTGCCGGTGAGAGCGACCTGTCGTTGCCCGGGCGACCCGGCGGCGGCGCTCGGGGCGGCGTCCCGCCGGCTATTTGCCAATCAGCGCCTGTGCTGTGCCTGCTCACCATGGCAACTGGCGCCGCGCTGAATTGCCGACCGTATTGGGATGTGAGGCCAGGAATGCGGCACTGTCGCCGCTGGCCGCCGCTGGGGAGGCCGTCTGTGCGGCGGCGCGCCGCCCCGCCAGGATGAGGTGAGTGGGACCGGTCAGCCGCGACCCGTCACCGGCCGATAACGCTCGCACCGTGGACTTCAGAGTCTGATTAGCTTTTACCTCCCCTCTGCCGTTCGAAATTCACTCAGGCACTTTGACTACATCAGAGCAGGTCAGCCCCCCGGCTGCGACTCGTCATTTGGCCGTCACTAGCTCAAATGTCACTATAGCCGTTTTCACGACGGGCTATCCGGTGAATGCATCTAATTTGACCAAATCTGCACCTAATCTCTTTTACAGCAAATATCTTCATTTTATGAATTTATTTCAGTGTTTTAATCGATGATACTCTCTGATGATATGGCAAAGCAGGCATATAAGCAATTAGCGCAACCCTAGCTGATAGCTATTAAGAGATACACCGAAGCTAATTTGACCAAATCTGCACCTAATCTGCACTAAATATGCACCAAATGTGTACCAGATGGCCTTCGTGAAAACGGCTTATAGCTATTCTGACGTGCACCCAAAACGCACGCACCATGGACCTTCAATGTCTGATGTATTTAATCTCCCCTTTGCCGTTCGAAATTCGCTCAAGCAGTTTTACAGCTCATCTCAACCGGAGGTTTCCTCGGATGGGACGAATCGTGTCAGCCTTGTGATGGTCAATATACGATCGTGATACATGCCAGTCGGGCTGCCTTTACTGACTGGCATGTAAAGGCAGCCCGAGGTAACTCACAAGCTTTCACTGGAGATCATGGCTGATGAGTCCTTCCACGGCTGGTCACACCGTAGGGGGACTCGGAGTCTCCTGAGCTCCGAGTCACCGACAGAGTCAGCTGGACGACTCCCTAGGCCAGCGTATAAAGAGTCGGATAGCCGGTGACCGCTTGGCCTGCAGGAACCGGAAATGCAGAAGGGACTTGGTCTGGGTACACGAGACAGTTAAATATGCATATAATATGCTTATAATATGCAGACAGCCGAGGACAATAAAAGTGGGTAGCTTAAATGAGCTGATAAAGAAGGCATAAATTAACCCGAGATGGACTCTGAAAAAAATAGCGTTGTGTGTTTCCATTGCATTTCCGTGCTGGAACGAGCGAGTGGACACAGTGGACACTGAGCTGTGGACGTCAGCTTCAGGAATCAGGATTGTCCAAAAAACGCAGAATGGGTTGGAATCTATCTAACTAGTAAATAGTTATGCATCGTAATGCAAAATTAAACAATTATTGGTGGCTCTATAAATTACTCGAGTCTCAAGGTGTTCACATTTCACCAAGCAGTTATGACAATATATAAAGAAAAAAGTTTAGCAGCCTCACAAGTCACAAAAAAAAATTAGTATCCACCTCTGTGATATGAATGGAAAATCACCTCACCGATATTTAATCGTTCACAGATACATGCGATGTAAGATTGATGCGCTGCTGATAGGGAGCGCCTATAGGTGTACAGTGGATCTTATTAGGATCTCCAGACGTAACTAGATGGCGTTGAGCCTTAGTCGAGTCCATGTCAAATTCAAGGAGAGGTCACTACCGAGCTGGGCCCGATGGGGAGGTGGGCGGGGAGGGGGGCGGGTGGCGAGGTCACGGTGCGGGTGACCTGTCAAACAGCCCCGGCGCGGTGGGGCACTGCCGTAGGCAAATGGCGCACTCCTGTGTTGTTCCATATCGCGGTGGTGGGCCGGGCGGCCGGTTAGCTTGGCAGCTTGGAAGGAAAGGATAATGAGGCATGGTTTTGCTGTGGCCGGTTCACCTACTGTTACTTATGATGCACCCAGAGTAATGCAAATGTGGCGTTGATAATGCAGCTGGCAATGGAATGCTAGCGAATGCTCCGAGCGCCTAGCTATAAGGATTACTATTATCTATGTCTCCTGAAATTTTCATTGAATATAATTCAAGCACTAGAAAGATCGTATTCGTTCGCCAGTTTTTTGACCGGCTGGCGTTTCTTGCGTAGAGCGCCCTTGGGCAAATATTTAGGTATAATGCAGGTGATTTTTTTTGCTGGTAAGACGCCTTTAGGGTCAAATCAAGCAGTGGCGGAGGAACACCTTTAATGGAGTGGGGGCACTGCCGACTTTTGGTCCCATTCTTTCCATGCAACGCCCATAGGGCTAATGTTAAAATGCCCAAAATCAAACGGGGGCACGGTGCCCCGATGCCCCCCCCCCCCCCGTTCCGCCACCACATGAAATCAAGTCGCTAAGAGACGATGAGGAAAAGTGGACGAACGCCACATTTCTGTGCATGAAGTCTCGAGTTATAAAAAGCTAAAAGTTATTATACGTGAAAACTAAAAAACAATAAGATCAGTTAATAAAAATATTTGACCCGAATTAACTTCTGTTTTGTCTGACCATGATTGCATGTATGACCCCGGTCCAGCCTGGTTCAACTCGGCCGGCGGCCCAACCTGGTTCGGCTCCCCCCTTTTTAATATAAATTTGGCCCGAACCTTTTGAATGGAAGGAATCACAAGGACAGAGTCCCCGCTAAGCTGAGCTTGTTATAAAGCGTTGACCCTGCCATCTACCCTCCGATCAAGCAATTCCTGGTCTATTGCAGACTATGGTTTTGAGGTTTAGTCTATGGCAAAATGGTCTATGGTTTAGAGTCCAAATTTTAACGTGCGCACATAGCCGCGCGCGGCCGGTCCCCCCCACTGACTTCGCCTGGCAGCGGCCTGCCACCAATCACAACCATACCCGTCAGGAGGCTAAAAAAACGTCAAGCACACGTCGTGTTTCGAACCCGGACTTTTGCAACCGGGACGTGCGCCTTCACCACATGGCACATGGAGTCCAACGCTCTACCGACCGAGCTACCGGGACGGACATTTACCTCGGGGTTTCGCCTCGTGACATTGACAGACGTCAGACACTTTGGCCGAACTTAAGCCGAAATACTGAGCAAGCTGCGCAGGGCGATAGGTGCTCGGCTCGTAGTGTTGAGGTTGGGTAACCTGTGAGCTGAACGCGATGTTGTGAGCTCGAGCCCCACTCCCGGGTCTGGTTTTATCTAGACACAACCAAACCCTTTCCTTCTACTGCAACACAGCTAAGCATGCGATGACATCTTTCCCCAATATCCTCCCCAAAAGTCAAAATTATCGCTTATAAACGTTTAGCTAAGTTTCATATTTAGAAAAATATTTTTGGTCATTTGTCTGGAGCCATTTCAACTCTTTTTTCTTTTCTGATTCTTTTCGACCCGATAAAACCCACCAAAACTGAACGTGCCAAATGAAAAATATCGAACTCAAATAACAGTTTCGAAAAGCCATGATGTCATGAGACATCATGCAACTATCGACTGAATAGTTGCATGCTATTAATACTCCTAGAATTCAATTATATTGTTCAAGATTTTGGCTGGAACTGGCGCTGCCTCTCGCTTGCCCGTTCGTTTGAGATAATGATTCCCTTCAGTCGCATTCTTGCTGGTTACACATGAACAGGATACCACCATATACCGGAGTGAACGCACCCGCAACCATCATCCCCTCCCCTCAGCCTCGGCGCAGTGGCGGGCGGCCCTGGGCGGCCCACTCCCGGCGCTACGCACGCCCCATGCGCCGTGATACCGCGTCACTCCCCCTCCCTCCTTCCCCCACAATGACCGGTGACCTCACTTCCCTCGGGATTTGGACTCACCCTACCCCGACCGTAGCGCCACGTGGTGGCTCTGGAGATCTCAAATAGACCCACTGTACATACCTACTTGTACATACCTACTTACCTACCTACTAGGTGTACATACCTACTTGTATTAGGTGACGTAGGTGTACCTTGTACTCGAAATCTGAAGTTGTGTCTTCTGTTGGCCGTAAACATTAAGCTCATGTTGAAGAAGAGAAAATGCCTTAACTAATGTATCTTTAAATAAAGGATGAGAATTATTTGTAAAGTGCAGGTAACTGGTAGGTACCTATCAATAAGTCATGCATACTGCTCATCCTATACCTAGGTAAATATATGCATAGACATAATACCATATGGGACCGGGAAAATAACTCCGGTCCATGTGTGGTATGAATCTAACCTATGTCGATGGTTGTTCGTACTGCAGATGGCCATCAGGGCTGCGGAGTCGGAGTCGGAATCGGAGTTGGAGTCGGTCGTAGTCGACAGTTCCGCCCAGAGTCAGATTCAAAGTTGGAGTCGCCAAAATCCTACCGACTCTGACTCCGGAGTCGGAGTTAATGCTGCATGGCTCAACGTCAAACACCACACCTGTTTTATTGACGATACTGCGCTCGAAATCAGATATTGTCGAAAAAAGGCCATTTTGCTGTTTTGGACGAACGTTTTCAGGGAAAGAAGCAGAAGATGGTGAATTCCCCAGAAACTGCTTTTTAATTCTTGTTATTTTTAATGCATATTTGCAACGCAAAGCCTTGGAACGCACAAGGGATCGTTTCAGGCAAGATAAAAGATCTCCATATAATGAACTTCAATATCATGATATGGATTTCAATAGAACCGTCCGGAGTCGGATTCGCGGTTAGAGTCGGAGTCGCATAGTTAGTTTAAAGCACTTAACTAAACCGTACTGTAACATGGTTTAATTTCTTTTCATCTTACTTCGACATGGAAATGGATTTTGGTGACAAAAAGACGCTGCAAAAAGTAAGTTCTATTCAGTTGAGTTGGTAAGCAATATTCTCTGACGATCGAGTTCAGACTATCACGCAGCATTCAGAAGGACGCGAAAATGAAAAATTGCAGGCCTCGGTAAGGTCCATTGAAAAAACCTTTACTCTTAACTGATCAACGCAAAGCGAAGCCTGGTTGCGAAAACATCAGCGGATGTCAAAATATGAGTCACTCACATCTGGTGCCACAACAGTGCAAAAAGCGTAAATGACAAATGTCTGTAGCATTTGGTTGTCATTTTAGCCCAGACCACACATATAAGTTCAAAGAAAGATGAAGCGGACTATTACTTTGCCAGAGACCGGAGAATGGGGTGCCGTCCCATCATCGCCCTGAGGTGGTGTGAACCCTAGTTCAATGGCCAATGCCTATACCCTGGTGTGAAGCCCATCAGACAGTCTGATTTGATGGCCGACGGATAAAACGACCGCTCTGTTTGCCTTGGTTTCGAGATTTCTATAGCTCCGAGGGAATCGAACCCAACTTCAGTGAACCCCAGGAAAGTTGGGAATCGCCTCTGAATGCTTTAATTACATGTCAGCTGGTAAGCAGCCACTCACTTCTATTTAACTTGGTAATCGAAAGCTCAAGTCGTCGCCAATGAGTTTTGTCAGATAAATGTAGTTGGTGGGTACATACCTACTGCTGTTGACGCTGAGCTACGAGGGAATTCCTTCGAGGTTTGTCAAATGCCTTGTGAATTATGATGTCCGGCCGGCAGGGGGCTATAGGATTTGCTCACGTATATTCGCTTCGCTCACGCATTGGCGGTAATTGTCTTGGTCAGATCTCTTTACATACACACCCATTGTCTTCCTCCCTGTTCCACAGGGGATTATGTCTCGTTCGCCGTATGTCCACAGAGCTCAGTGTCCACCTCTGTCCACAGAGCTCAGTGTCCACCTCTGTCCACAGAGCTCAGTGTCCGTCCACCTCTGTCCACAGGGCTCAGTGTCCACCTCTGTCCACAGAGCTCAGTGTCCACATCTGTCCACAGAGCTCAGTGTGTCCGTTTACCTCTGTCCACATACCTTTGTCCACAGAGTTAGTGTTCACCTCTGTCCACACACAGAGCTCAGTGTCCGCCCAACTCTGTCCACAGAGCTCAGTGTCCACCTCTGTCCACAGGGCTCAGTGTCCGCCCAACTCTGTCCACAGAGCTCAGTGTCCACCTCTGTCCACAGAGCTCGGTGTCCGTCCACTTCTGTCCACAGACCTCAGTGTCCACCTCTGTCCACAGAGCTCAGTGTCCGCCCAACTCTGTCCACAGAGCTCAGTGTGTCTTGTCCACCTCTGTCCACAGAGATCAGTGTCCGTCCACCTCTGTCCACAGAGCTCAGTGCGTCTTGTCCACCTCTGTCCACAGAGCTCAGTGTCCGTCCACCTCTGTCCACAGAGCTCAGTGTCCGTCCACCTCTGTCCACAGAGCTCAGTGTCCGTCCACCTCTGTCCACAGAGCTCAGTGTCCGTCCACCTCTGTCCACAGAGCTCAGTGTCCACCTCTGTCCACACACAAAGCTCAGTGTGTCCGTCCACCTCTGTCCACAGAGCTCAGTGTCTTGTCCACCTCTGTCCACAGAGCTCGGTGTCCACCTCTGTCCACAGAGCTCAGTGCGTCTTGTCCACCTCTGTCCACAGAGCTCAGTGTCCGTCCACCTCTGTCCACAGGGCTCAGTGTCCGTCCACCTCTGTCCACAGGGCTCAGTGTCCACCTCTGTCCACACACAAAGCTCAGTGTGTCCGTCCACCTCTGTCCACAGGGCTCAGTGTCCGTCCACCTCTGTCCACAGAGCTCAGTGTCCACCTCTGTCCACACACAAAGCTCAGTGTGTCCGTCCACCTCTGTCCACAGAGCTCAGAGTCCGTCCACCTCTGTCCACAGAGCTCGGTGTCCACCTCTGTCCACAGAGCTCAGTGTCCACCTCTGTCCACAGAGCTCAGTGTCTGTCCATCTCTGTCCACAGAGCTCAGTGTCTTGTCCACCTCTGTCCACAGAGTTCAGTGTCCGTCCACCTCTGTCCACAGGGCTCAGTGTCCGTCCACCTCTGTCCACACACAAAGCTCAGTGTGTCCGTCCACCTCTGTCCACACACAAAGCTCAGTGTGTCCGTCCACCTCTGTCCACAAAGCTCAGTGTGTCCGTCCACATCTGCCCACAGAGCTCAGTGTCCACCTCTGTCCACAGGGCTCAGTGTCCGTCCACCTCTGTCCACAGAGCTCAGTGTCCGTCCACCTCTGTCCACAGAGCTCAGTGTCCACCTCTGTCCACAGAGCTCAGTGTCCGTCCACCTCTGTCCACAGAGCTCGGTGCGAGTGGAGGCCGAGCACAGGACCATGTTCGTGCAGACGCTCAGTATTGTGCTGGGCGCGCTGGTGGCCGCCATAGTGCTGGTCGTCCTGTTCGTCTGCCTGGCCCGCCGCTATGTGCGCGGCCGGGACAAGATCAAAGGCCTGGCCAACACCGACACGGAGGCCAGCAAGGACTACCAGGTGGGTGCCGCCGACCGGCTGCTCGGCGAGAAGGACCACCGGGGAACTCGGACCAGTGGGCACCGATGACCATCAGTCCATCAATCAGACGTGTCGGCGCGGCGGGGAGCAACAGGTGGGCAGTCACAGCGCCCCGAGCCAGTGACTGCGTGCATTGGCCGAGGGGCGAGGCATCCTGAGACAATCACTTCCCAGGTCGGGGTGTGAACAAACGATCACTTATCCATTCTCTCCAGCTCAGTCTTCGGTTATCGATTTTCGGTCGTTGATATGACATGCCCTAGAATGGTTGTGCAAAATTTATTGCAGATACAGTAAATATCCCTAAAGAGGTCACGCATGACAAGGAAATAATTCCTGCCACGGCGACACGTAACACCTGGCACCGTGGAAGACCCCCCCCCCCCCCGCCAGCTCTGCTCGCGGCGACAGGTGAAGTGGCGCTCTCCCTCTCCCTCTCCCTCTCCGGGCTCGCCAGATGGCGTGCCGGGCCGGCGCGGTATCGACCGCACGCCCACCTGAGCCGCTCCGCCGCTCTGCCCTGTGCTCCGCGCTCTGCCCGACCACCTGAGCCGGCCTCCCGCGGGGACACTCGGCTCCCTCTGCGTACCCACCTGGTCCCAGGTGAAGGCCGTCGGTATAGCGCAGACGCCCCATCGCACACCTGGCTATTACGCGTCCACACCAGACAGTGCTGGAGATTGAATGCTTGAGGCGCTTAAACCGCAGAAAAATATTTTGAATGGACTGTGATTTATTATTGTGTGACCCATACTTGCAAAATGCCGTAGAATCCGGTGTGACGGAGCACTGGGAAACATCAGGTCTGCCAACCAAGGGGCGCCTCTGCGGTTCCTCCCTGTCTCTCCCCTGCCGGCGGGGCCCTGCAGGTCCTCCCGGCATGGCCGCCCACCCCGTCCTGTCCTGGTGCCGCCCCTGCAGGTGCCCCATGGTCCCTCCCGCGGGTCCCTGGTGCCGCCCCTGCGCCCCGCTGCCGCCGGTACCGACACCCCTGCCGTCGGTACCGGCGGCAGTGGTGACCGCCGCGCCGGCACGATGTGGCACCTGGACGCCTGCGCCGCCGCCGCCGCCGCCGACACACCGCCAATGTGGCTGGCCAGAGCCAAGGTAGAGCCGTCCGAGGGGAGTCCGCGGGGAGTGCGGGGGCTGACCACTGACCTGAGCCGTCCGCGGGAAGTGTGGGGGCTGACCGCTGACCGGGGGCCGTCCGGGGGGAGTGTGGGGACTGACCGCTGACCGGGGGCCGTCCGCGGGGAGTGCGGGGGCCGCGGGGCTGTCCGCGGGGAGTGCGGGGGCTGACCACTGACCTGAGCCGTCCGCGGGAAGTGTGGGGGCTGACCGCTGACCGGGGGCCGTCCGCGGGGAGTGCGGGGACCGCGGGGAGTCCGTGGGGAGTGCGGGGACCGACCCCCGATAGGGCCGTCCGCGGGGAGTGCGGGGCCGACCACTGACCGGGGAGGTGTGCCGGCGGCCTGAGCCGGGCAGGTGGGTGTGAGCTGACTGTGGTGGCGGGGTGCCCTGCAGGGACCACCTGCCTGCCAACAGGTGGGTGCTGGGCGGACCAAGGGGTCAGTCAGCCGCGGCCTGCCTTCAGCGCCGCTCTCCCTCTGTGTCAGCTGCCGCTGTCAGCGGAAACCGTGCGACGAATAGCGCCAATGTGAACGGAACAAGTTCTATTTCGGACTGCTCCGTGCCACAGGCAGCGCAGGGTATGCATGTCTTTATAGTGCACCTGGTGAGCAGATTGGTATATAAGAATACGGACGGTGAGTCAGAAATTAGGTAACAATGACTCATCCTAGCTTCAAAAGTGCTGGTTAATTTGTTTTAGGCGCGCCTGCCTGCACAAACGACACCTGTGCTGCCGCCCGGAGAGGGTAAACATAACTGCGCCCGTTTGCAGTCTTTTTACTCGTAACTCGGTGAGGTCAGGCCCCAGTTCTAGTGTCCTTCGGGTGCTGCGTAAAAAGGATACGTTTTTGTGGACGCAAGAAGTGGGCTTTGACCCGAAGGAAAATAAATGGATAGCATGGAGCTATCAATGCATAAACGCACAATATTAGTTTGAGCAATCTCGACTTCAAATTACTGAATATACGTCATTACTGAGCTGGTAAAATAAATTACATAAGACGGCCGCTACAAATACCAGCTGTACCACAGCCAGCGTATGCCGACTTAAAACTAAGCTGCTGCCTCCTGTCTGCAAGTTTTCAAAGCGACATAGCTTTAGGAATGTGTTTATACACAGCTCTTTCGGCTTCTGACAGCTATATGTAGGCTTAGGTAGCAGCTGTGTTTGTGCGAGTGTTGCACTTTCCCAGCTCAGAGGCCGCGCGTGGCGTCCCGCGGAGCAGTAATGGGTCCCGCAGGACGGAGAGGGAGGGCTACCGCCACCCCACCCCGCCCCCAGTCACTACACGAAGCTCCCGGGAAAGAGAGAGGCAGAGACTGTGGTGAGAGAAGCAAAGCGAGCATCGTTCTCCTGTGGGCCGTTATGATGAATAGGATGCCGTAAATAAATCCTGAAGCATGGACCGACTTGGCCTGCACATCCCTCGACTTGGGCCAGATTTCAGTCCCAAGTCGGGCCTTCCCCTCCAGGAGCTGTGTCGGTCTGTTTAAACTTAGTGACAAACCTCCCCTCTCACAGGACCTGTGCCGGTAAGTATAGCTGTAGTGAGTAGTGACAGCTCCCTCTCCTCTGTACAGGACCTGTGCCGGTCCCGGATGGCGGCCCGGGTCACCGAGAAGACGGACACCCCTGAGAAGCCACAGCGCGTGCACAGCCTGTCCAAAGAGTCGGACGGCACGGCCAGCCCCACGTCACGCTCCAGCACCTCCTCTTGGTCAGTAAATGGCAGCCTCTTGGTCAGTGCCGCACTAACACTTCCGCAACTTGTTTAATGTTTATGATGAGACACGGTGTAGGTAGTCCGATTACTGAAATATGAACGTTTGATGAAACATTCCACCTATAACATTTTACGAACTTTGTGTTTCGTCTTGCAGGAGTGAAGAACCAGTTGTGTCAAACATGGACATATCAACCGGACACATGGTTCTGGTAAGTAAGGAACATGCATTGCCATTTGAAGATTGTACGTTTATCTCTATAACTATGGAATAGCTTGCCCATTCATGTCCGAAACTATTCGAAAGCTGATTTTGTGAAATATATTTTGGAAAATCACGCGGTAAAATGATGCATATGTACCTATATGGTGTTGTTCCGGTGATGTCACATTGTTCGTTGTAATAATTGCCGGTTATTTATGAGGCTTCGCTGTCTCATCAAACTTTTTGTTATAGAAAATCGCTTTTGTTCTGCATTTTGATTTCGTTATACGTGCTTATGAATGACAGGGCACTGCGCTGCCTGTATTGTATGTAAATGGTTTATGTGTGTCAATGTGTTTCCCTCTGTAATGCCCACCGAATGGTGGTTAGTGGGAATATGAAATAATAATAATAATAATTATAATCTCAACTGACGTAAGTTACCGATTTCCCAAAAGTTGGCGGATTATCCGTATTACCTACTTCAAGTTGCCCTAGGATTTACAATATTTTGAACGTATTCGATTTTTGATTGTTTCCTGAATTGGGATTTATTCAGTCGTATCCCGGTCCAAAGTTGCGTACGGGCAACTACGTTTCTGAGGCAATATTAGTGCCCGCAGAGTAGCTGTTTCCCTCCCTGACGTCCCCCCCCCCCCGCGCCGCAGTCCTACATGGAGGACCATCTGAAGAAGAAGGACAAGCTGGAGGAGGAGTGGCGCGCGCTGTGTGCCTACGAGGCCGAGCCCTCGGCGCGCACGGTCGCCGCGCTGCCCGCCAACGCCAAGAAGAACCGGGTGCCGACGGCACTGCCGTACGACCACTCGCGCGTCACGCTGAACGCGGTCACCAACGCCACCGGGGGCGACTACATCAACGCCAGCACCATCACCGACCACGACCCGCGCAACCCGGCCTACATCGCCACCCAGGTGAGCGACCACGACCCGCGCCACGACCCGCGCCACCCGGCCTACATCGCCACCCAGGTGAGCGACCATGACCCGCGCAACCCGGCCTACATCGCCACACAGGTGAGGGACCGACCACGACCCGCGCAACCCGGCCCACATCGCCACCCAGGTGAGCGACCACACCACCAGCCAAGACCCGCGCAACCCGGCCTACATCGCCACCCAGGTGAGAGACTATATCACCGGTCACGATTACACCACCGACCACGACCCGCGCCACCCGGCCTACGTCGCCACCCAGGTGAGTGCGGTGAACGTCGACTGTCACAGGCTGTACGCAGAGCTCTGGACTGATCATCTGACATCCCTTCTGTCTGCCCGGCGCGACTGACCGGTGCCAACCCCGTCCCGCCGGCAGGGTCCGATGGCGCAGACGGCCAACGACTTCTGGCAGATGGTCTGGGAGCAGGGCAGCGTGGTGATCGTCATGCTGACGCGGCTGACGGAGAACGGCAGCGGCATGTGCCACCGCTACTGGCCCGAGGAGGGCTCCGAGCTCTACCACATCTACGAGGTCAGTACAGAAGGAGCGCCGAGGCCCGCACGTCACCATGCGTTAAGAATCTGCCATGATCGAAGAGGGGGTAAATGCAAACGTTATTGTGATGTTACACGGCATATTCTTAGTGGTTATGAATATCGATGAGGTTTGCTGGTTTCGTCGCCAAGAAACATGATTGGTAAAGAAAGCAACCGTTGGCCACCAACCCATATTTTACTTCACAAAGTGTCCATGATCCGCTGACTCTGCTGACCGCTGACCGCTGACACTGCTGACCACTGACCGCTGTCGCCGCCCGTCGCTCGTCAGGTGCACCTGGTGTCGGAGCACATCTGGTGCGACGAGTACTTGGTGCGCAGCTTCTACCTGAAGAACCTCAAGACCAGCGAAACGCGCACGGTGACCCAGTTCCACTTCCTGGCCTGGCCCGAGAACGGCGTGCCCACCTCCACCAAGGCGCTGCTCGAGTTCCGCAGGTCAGTGCCCTGGCCTCCCTCCTTCTGCAGCGCTGTTCGGTGGGTCAGTGTCTCCGCCGCCGGCCGGCTCCACTGCCAGATAACGTATGTGATCACTGACTTACCTACTCGTCTGGTAACCTCGCAGGGTCTTCTCAGATCGGGACGGAGCATCATTTCAAACGTCCTCTAAACTGAATTAGGACTGCCTTTCGCAGTTATCTTCGTACCTAGCCAAATGTCTTTCTATAGAAGATATAGTTTTTTATCAAAGTTGACTGGAGAGGCAACGTTTGAAATAATTGGGTTCGAGAAATCGAAAGATTACTTTTTATTGCTCTTAACCCGGGATCATGAGCTACGTATCGTGTTTCATCGGCGAATAGGACGACTACAACAATAATACGGCCTAACTGATCACATAAGGATAAGCTGTCACATGTTGCCCATGTCTCAAATGCACGAGCCACTCAGTCAGCCCGAGGCGCAGCGCCGCCCAACCCATCTGCCCTTCACATCCCATCTCCGGCCATCATTTTCGTGATTTTTGCAATTTAGCTTTGATCGAATTGCATAGTCACAAAAGTGATGGTCGTGGATGGGTACACTACCAGACGGCTACTGCGAGAGTAAGCAGTGTTGTTTAACAAGAAAATAGCACATGCCAGAAAAGACAAAGAGTCGTGAAGTACCTCTCGCAACGTTGTATTTTAAACTTGTCCAGGTAGTGGTGTTCCTTTTGTTGTTTCAAAAAAGAATATGTAAACGTCAAATGTATTGCGGTTTGCTCACAGCTGGCATTGGAAAATTTATATGCGCCGATTCTTCGGTGAAACTTTCTCATATAGGTACTCTGGCTCCCCGCAGAAAAGTGTATAAAGTTATACATATGAGTGTCTGACGGCCGCCCAACCCCCACAGGAAAGTGAACAAGTCGTACCGCGGCCGGTCGTGTCCGGTGATCGTGCACTGCTCCGACGGCTGCGGCCGCACCGGCACCTACTGTCTCATCGACATGGTGCTCAACCGCATGGCCAAGGGCGCCAAGGAGATCGACATCGCCGCCTCTCTGGAGCACTTGCGCGACCAGCGCGCCGACATGGTGCGCACGCGCGCCCAGTTCGAGTTCGTGCTCATGGCCGTGGCCGAGGAGGTGCACGCCATCCTGAAGGCGCTGCCCCAGTGAGCCAGCCCGCCCCCACCCAGTATTATGTCGAGCGTCGGTGTTCGCGTGCTGTCAGTGTCAGAGTCTATAGGTGTTTGGTGTTGACTGTCGGGGGCGGGCGGACGGTGGCCGGCGACTGCAGGTGCGGCAGTCCGGCGCCGGGAGGACCGGACCGGCCCGGCCCGGCCTCCGACAGAACGGCGACATGGCCAGGAGCCGCCGCGCAGCGCCGCGCCGCCGCCGCCGCACCAGCCCCGTCAATGTTGCATCCGGAGAAAACCCAAAAACGGCGCCGTGTGCGCGGCTCGGTGCGGCTCGGAGCTTGCAGTCTGGTCCCCCGGGAGCGGCGGCGGGCCCGACCGGCCGTCCTCGGGCCGACGTCCCTCCTCCTTAGGAGCCGTTCTGGACCCAGCCTCCCAGAAGGGTTCCTTGCTCTGTGGGCCGGATGACGGTCGCTCCGGCGAGGCCGCCGCCCCCGGCCGCCGTGTCTTGGACCGCCGCGCCGCCACAGCCAGAGAGCAAGCACAAACACTTGCTCCCTGGCACCGGCGGCGCACGCTTAACGCAGAAAATACAAACGCCACAAAAAATGGAGTCGTGTTATATAGGTGGCTAGGATAGACGTTGCCCGTTACTGTAAGATGTTTATTCTGGTTGTCTCACGCCAAGATAAACTATTTTTGTGATCCATGCCACGGTCCTTGGGAGCCCGGTTAGTCGGCAACAAATACATCAACATTCCGTTGTATGCGAGTTTGGACATGGGGTAGGCGTGACACACGGTCACACTTGGTGGCTTCAGCCCTGGTAGTTGTTATCAGTAATAAAAAAACCATCCGCAAATAACTGCAGACACCTATTACACACTAGCTAACCAGGCTAGGAGACGAGATTTGAATCAAAATATATTTTTTAATCGAGGTTATGGTCAAGACACTTCCAACACTGAAAAAGCAATAATTTGCGTGCTTGCATCACCAGAAAATAAGGAAGCAAATAGGTAATTGGTGCGGCACCAGCGTTCAATCCAAAACGGGTACATAATTTTCATCGACTGAAAAATATTGGGGACCAGTACAAGCATGCAACAGAAGCACAACTTTTCATTTAGATGTACTTACCCGGGTAGAGGTTTTCCTTAAATTTCGGGCACTCGGTGCCACTATTCGATTCATAAGTAGTAGCAATAAACATAGCGCAATTGTGTAAAAATCGAAACACATTATCGGATAAAATAGCAGAACAACGTCAAGCACGTAAAGAATGCATTACCCTGCCACCGCTTCCTAAACCGGTATACCCAGACAGCAGCCCATTTCTCTCAAACAGTCACACTCACGGTTGCTGGCAGAATTTAAACGGCCAGAATATTGGTACGGCACGTTGAGCCAGCAAACATAAACAATAAAAGTGAAATAAGCAAGCAACAAGCGACGCTGCATTTACCGTCGATGTCATGGACGACGCTGGTCGTTAGCGAGCATGCAGTGGAGGTTAAGGATGAGCAGAGAATAGAGATGGCACCTGACTAGCACACGCTGCCCGCCGAGACGGTGGCACCCCACACGGAGCACAAGCGTCCCGACCCGTTATCAGTGACAGGCGGCCGCCGCAAACGCTTCCATGATATTTACATCCCTCCCAGTCCGTCACTTTGACCATTACCTAACGTCTTATTCGAGCAATGAATATCATCACCAAACGTTTTATTTCTTTGGCACATACTTGAGGCTGACTTCTGTTCGTGAATTAAATTAAATCTTAACAGATTACTTTTTGGAAAGGCCAAAGGATTGAGAAAGATAGCATTACGATGACAATTGTTGCTTATTTGCTGATAGACGGTCAACAACAGCGTAGGAAAATTTGAGGAGCAGCGCCTGGAATTTTACGGGGAGTTTTGCCTTATCTTTACAACCGTTCGTATGGCGAAACTATGCTGATTACCGTTTATAATCAAACAAAATATTTGCGTAGATGAGCTGCAATTCCATAGCGAAATTCAATCAGGATTAAGGATACTCAACTTCCGAGACTAATCGAGCTGCTTTATTGGTTTTTATAATATCTTAAGTTAATTTAGAGTTTAGGTATCATGCTCAAACAAGTTATTTTCTAGTATTTGAATTTAATTTATTTATTCAAATTAACATAAATTTATTCAACAGTGTCCGTAGATAATAAATGATAAAAATGAAAAAATGCCAGGCCAATGCTAAGGGACATTCAATACGGGTACGGGCTGATTCAGGAGTATTAGCCACGGATAATAGCAATACGGGGCAAGAACAAGAACAAATAACACGTTGTCCGGTACATCACCGTTCCTGTGCGTCTGAAGGTGGTGGCTGACAGGACGGCAGGCGCTGATGATGTGGCTGACCGACCCGATAGTCCAGCTGAGACAGCGGATGGCCGGCTTGCCGGGCTGTCGGGCTGGTGGGCTGGGGCGCCATTACCGGCAGGAAGACCGCTCGGCCGTCGGTCACTCCTTCAGCGCGGCAGCGTCCAGCACACGGGTACTGACGGTTACACAAACTCCACTGAACTATTCCAACCCGTCTTTACACCTCTCGTCCGCCGCGGTCACAGCTCAGTGTCACTCCTCTGCAGCGGTCGGACGCGCACTGCCGGGATCCAGCCCCTGACCCCTGACCCCCCTGCCCCCCCGCGCCGGCGGCGTTCGCTGGGTGTCGAATAACACCGCGCCGCTGCATGCAGTCTGAAGAACAGCGGGCCCGCACAGGCGACGGACGAGGTGTCGGCTGCACTGACGTCTCATATTACGATTGAGACACCATCCCCTCCGGGGTCTCCACACCAGCATGCATGGCTGCCAGCGAGTCCAGCTGCTTCCACAACCTAATGTTTCCTTGCTGCCCTTTTGTGCTTTTGAGAAAACGATCAAGTGGAGGTGCGCAATGTGCATTCCGAATCCGAATGCTTAAACCGTTTTAGCGCAGCATAGTTCGGTTAGGTTTATAACGTCCTAGGTTCGGAAAGTGGGTACTGGGTAACTTACATCGAACGATAAACGCGTATGTATAGGCCGTAGCTAGCGTATTTACAGTGTTGATGAGATCTGCCTATACACTTAGAATAATATTCCTTTCAAATGCATCACCCAAAACAATAATTAAGTGCCTTTTCATTCACCATTTCATAAAATGAACTCTTTGCCTTCGCGATAGAAACGATCTTTGCATGAGGTATACCTACCCGTGGATGATGAAAAATGTCTTTTTTCTTGAGTTGAAACTATATATGTATAGTGTATACTTATCTGCTCTGTTCGTAGATGGTGTACTGATATTACAAGCGGCATAGCTTGATAACAAATAAACGACGGCGTGCATTTTGGCCCACACCATATATGTACCTATATCTTCTCCGCATGTATTTTTTTTTTTATCTTAGGTTCAGATCATTCAGCGTCATGCTGCTATAGGCTGTCACGTCAAGTGACTTATGCCTCAAGAAAATAATAAATTGCTCGCCACAGCCTTAATTCCGGTATTGGTGCTTTACGACGCTTTATTTGGCGCTTTATACACCATATTACCGTAAAGTGTCGCTGAGACTTTCAGAGCAATCGTTCAGTCGGTAAATCGTCATCACAATGACGATTTACCGACTGAACGATTGCTCTGAAAGTCTCAGCGACACTTAACGGTAAAAGAGTGTATAAAGCGCCAAATAAAGCGCCATAAAGCATCTATACCTACCGGAATCTCGATATTGGTGACCTGCGGCCAGCTAAAGGCTCCGAAAAGACAATTGCTCATTTCACGGTTCCCTCTTTTCCATCATCAGGACATACATACAAATCCTTCTCCTGCAGGCATCAGCCGACGGGCAACTTTATCCTATGCGGGAAGGCCCGTAAGAGCACGTCCGTAGCCGCGCGGGTGTGGCGAGTGCTGGTCGGCCTATCCTCTGGACGGCTCAGCCCCGGCGACTCAGCAGGTGCTCGCCCAGACCAATGTCTTCACCTGGGGCATTCCACGACAAATCGACAAATAAAAAATTAAATTTGCACCCTCATATTTTATTCTTCGTTGAAAACTGGTGTAAGGGGTTGTGATGGGCGGGGAAGCCAGCTGTGGCAAGGATTTTTTTCTTCGAACAACGGTTTCCGAGATATAGCCTCGGGCAATTCCTGGAGTTCGCGCTGCAGCCCTATGTTTGGCGGCCTATAACTCAGAAACTATTGGTTTTTACGATAAAAAATTTATATGCTTCAACTCACAATCAACCAACAAACATTTTATGTATCTCGGATTTTCAATTTTTGAAAATTTTGATCACGTGACCTTTTGTCCTATTTTTCGAAGAGTGACCTTGATATTTTCCCCACTGAAAGTTGCAACTTTGTCTGATGACGATTAAAGCCTTATCGATTGTCATTCATATGCGATAATAAAAAAGTGGCTATCGCCTTGCGTTGACCTCAGGTCAGGTCATTTTTATGACCTGTCCATTATTACGAGCGGGAGCGACAGCGAGATCTCGAGAATAAAGCAGGATAGCGACAAGCAGTAAACGGTAAAGGGTACACACGGATACGGTCTATAATTTTTACTGAGGTCATTTTCAGGTCAGGTCAAAGATGACGTCACAGGAGCTAAAAGGAAGTCAAAATAGCGGCACTATACATATATATGAAGTTTTTCTCGAATAACTTTCAAGGTATCCCAGCTAGGAACAAACTAATAGCACCATCGTGATCCTCTCGTCGATCCGCATCGAAATATATGTATGTTGACCTCGAAAGGTCGACAGGTCAAAAGTTGACCTTAGATCACGTGATCTAAGGTCACCTTTTAACCTTTCGACCTTTCGAGGTCAACATACATATGTTTCGATGCGGATCGACGAGAGGATCACGATGGTGCTATTAGTTTGTTCCTAGCTGGGATACCTTGAAAGTTATTCGAGAAAAAACTTCATATACCTATATGTATAGTGCCGCTATTTTGAGTTCCTTTTAGCTCCTGTGATGTCATCTTTGACCTGACCTGAAAATGACCTCAGTAAAAATTATAGACCTTATCCGTGTGTACCCTTTACCGTTTACCGCTTGTCGCTATCCTGCTTTATTCTCGAGATCTCGCTGTCGCTCCCGCTCGTAATAATGGACAGGTCATAAAAATGACCTGACCTGAGGTCAACGTAGGGCGATAACCACTTTTTTATTATCGCATATGAATGACAATTGATAAGGCTTTAATTGTCATCAGACAAAATTGCAACTTTCAGTGGGGCGTTAGGCGGCACGGGCGGACATCGATAGCAGCGCCTCTATCGGTCACTAGGGAAAGCTGGGCTGTAGGCGACGAAATACCGGCTGAGTTGTCACAAGTTAAATAGGTTTATAGACATCCGTCTTGTGAAAAAGTTGAACTTTTGCCTTCAATATTTCTACAGGCAATTTTAGAAGTGCCCTCACATAGATTACAAAACCGTTTAAATTATTTTATTCACTTCAAGCCTTCCCTATTGTTCTTGATGATGCGGGAACTATTTCTAATTAGTGTTTCTAGCTTAGTAAAAGAACATATTGTGCAAAAGATGAAAAAAGCATAAATTGAAGATTTTAAATGCAATTTTCTGTAACAAATAATGGTAAATTCTCTACACATCAAGGAAAAGGTGCATGCTAACTGATAATTTAAAGTTCTTGGGGCCAGTTGGTTTCTTCTTTTCTTACGTCGCCCCAATGGCCGGGAATACACTTGTGATAACG